TGCTAATAATGCCCGACCCCCTTTAAATTGGTCTTCCTGCAGTCTGGTTGAGAATCACTGATGTAGAATTTGCCAACTATTTCCCACCTCAGTTTATCCCTCTCCCCTTTTGAAAATCAACTGAAAATGATGCTGGATTTGAATGTTTTTGAATTGACTATATTTTTAAAAGATTCCAGTTCCTGATTGAGTACCTTTAAGACCATCTAACATGAGGAGTTGGGGTTTTTTTTTTTCCCCTTTCAAGATCATTTTATAACATGTCTTTACTGTTCTTCCTTGGAGATTGGCCAAGAATCTCTATCAAGGGAGGAAGGCAGAGTCCTGAACCTGCAAAAATCCAGACATGCTTTGACCTAGGCCAGACAAAGACCTAACTACGTATAGGAACAGGAAACAAACCCAAAGGCCTGTTGCATACACACAGAAAATAACAACTTTCACAAATGATTGTTAAATGCATCCATCTTAGCTGTTACCAAATATCATTATAGAAAGTGCCAAATTTTCAGACAGCAGTGTGATTTTTTTTTAAAGCTGATGATGGAGCTTAAACTCCGTTTAAGTGTTGATCTTGCATTTCATTCTCCCCATCCATTTTTTTCCTTCTGTTTGCATCAAGTCCTCATATAGTTGCATTTTAATAAGGATGGGTGCTCTATTTAGCAGTTTACTACATTGCACAGTCACTTACTCCCTCCCCCCCTTGCACCTTCTGGAGAGATTGACTTTTTATTCAACACCATTTAATAAGCTAAGATACTTTGAAAACAGGTTTCACAGTTCAGGAGTAAACAGTCTTCTGGTTTAAGGTTAGTGCAGACTTGCTTCAAGGTCTCCCTTCCCCAGAACTGCAGTGTGATGAAAAGTACATTTACCCCCATTCCACTCAGTTGTAGTAATTTGCTTAAAACTGCACAGTGCACTGACCCAGGCCACCAACTTTTAAGCAGTCTGCAGGCTTTATCCTCTAGTGGTTGAGTAACCTCAACTCTGGACTTTGGGAGTTGAGGATGTTCAACATATACAGTGGAATGATTATAGAACAAGAATGGTTCAAGTCATAATTTTTTCTACTGCAGGTTGTTACTGCAGGCAGGTTCAAGCCACCTGGCTCTTCATATCCAGCCTGAGTCAACAAGAAGGGATCATATAAATATAACACTGGTCTAACATTGCTTTTCAAAGCCTTTTCTTTCCTCAGTTTCCATGGTAATGGAAATAAGTACCCCTGTTGCTTGAGTGCCACTTCACTTACTCATGCCATTGTACTGCAGCTTTTGTGTGGGCACATCTACACATTCGTTAATACACTGTAGTTACTGCACATTTAGGTTAGTACTTCCTTAATGAAGTACTAACTGAATGAACAGTAACTACATTTATTATGCAATACTGCTAGTGCATGTTTTATGATGGTTACTGCACAGTAACCTAATAACACTGCGCAGTAGCTTATTAGCACAGTTATTGACTGACATGCTACTGCACAGTGTTATTAGGCTACCACACAGTAACCATCTCGTGTAGATGTGCCATGTATGCCTTGCCTAAGAGCAGGAAAGTGCTGTCAGCTTCTTTCTGTCAAGTTGAAATTGGAGGAATGGGTGATATTTATTTGGCTCTTCTGTCCAGGACTAGCCACTGCCAAATAATGAGAAGTATGTTGATGGGAAAGTGAGATCTGCAAACTAATATGCGATCATAGAAAAGGGGCAGGAGCAGCAAGGGAATGGCTGAGGATATCTTAAATGGTGATATATCGTTAAGTGGAGTCAGTCCTCTTTTTAGTTTGAATTACACATGTGTTATTGCATATTGAGCAGGGTTTACATGCAATAGGATGTTTCTCTAACTCAGATGCCGTATGAATTTTCACTGATATCAGTCATTATTTGTGTACAGACATTTATTTCTACTGAATGTCTACGGAAGATAGCTCAGTATGTGGGCTGTACAGAGGTTCCTCCAGCCCCATGTATGGACAGCTTCATAGGCAAGCTCTCCAGGGGGGCACCCCCGATGATAGGGGAGCCTCATTAATTGACAGACTGTCTTCTCCCCTAATTAGAAAGGGGCCAGGCTGTCAAGTAGCAGTTGGCAGCTGAAGAAGAGCCTCTGCACGGAGACAGGAGTGGTTAACGGCCACATAAAGACATTCAGTTTCTACCAGGAGAAGTGTTCTCCTGGTAGAAATCCAAAGTGTGCAGATAGTCAAAATTTTTCTCTTGCAGCAAAAATGGTTGCTCCAGGGGAGAAAAATAACCTGGGAACAACTAGGGGTTAATCTCAACCAGGAGAGTTTCTCCTGGTAGACTGAATGCTTTCCCCAGTCTTAACTTCTCCTGGGGACTCAGAGCAGGGCGAGGCAGGCTGCTGTGCCACAGCGAAAGGATGCCCCCACCTTGCCCCTCACTGGAACTCTAGCTGCCTCCTGCACCTTCTTCAGATGGGTGATCCTGGTCTCAGGAAGGCACAGGAGCCTTTCTCCTGACTGCATTACTCCTGATCCCCAGGAGGGGTTAAGCCAAGAGAAAGTATGCAGTCATTCAGTCTCCCACGAGAAATTCTCTGGGAGTGATTTAATCCAAGTTGTTCCTGGGTTATTTTTCTCCCAGATAAATTAATAATTTTTGGTTCAGGAGAAAAATATTGGATGTTTGTACACTGGACTTCTACCCAGGACCACAGCAAATCTCCCAGTAGAAACTGAACATCTGTACATGGCTATAGACCTCTGCTACCTACCAGGGGTTTCAGAATAAAAACTTTCAAGAACCTGAAAAGGAAAAATGTTCACTAGTCAGTTGTTTTCCTTAGGAGAAGCAGTTCTTTAAAGACTTCAGTGCATAATACAGTTCCTGGAAATACTGTGTGTATGCTCCAGAGAATAAGAAGGAATGCTTTAATAAAAGAAATTCTAGGAAGACTGAAATGTTAACTGATGCAAAATGCTGCTTAGATCTGACTTTGTCAGAAGATGGTTTTTGACAATTTTGATAATCTGTCCAGTGTGAAAATATGACAGACCAAAGTCATAGGTTTAGATTTGGTTTTCTGACTGTTTCTGCCATAACTGTCTTTTAGCTATTTTTGTACTATTTTATGATTGATGCCAGAGATATCTGAGCATGGTTCACACCTCATTTAACTGAGCCTCAAAACACCCATAGCTGTTTAGCCCACAACTGAAATACGTTTACCTCTGGCAAGGGAAATACAATAGTTTAAACCATACATTAAGACACGAAATGAAGAATCCATTATCCAACTAAGACTGTGATTAGGAATTAGGTAGACATGATTTGATTGCTTGAGCTGAAATATACTTAAAAATATACTTTCTCATTGAGAAAATTGCCATGGAGTCTATAATAGCCACAAATGGTCAAGACATTGCTTTGCAATTTACCCAGGAAAAAAAGTTACGCTGAAGTTTTGTTGTTAGCTTTGGGAAAAAGAACCCAAAAATTTCTCAAGGATTTAGGACCCAATTTCCATTCCTTGTGATGGCATTGCGTATTCAGGTCTCTCTTGTACAGTTTTGAAAATTTCAATTTTTTTAGGAAAACTAAGCAAAATTAATTTGGGTGTTTTTATTATTTCTTGGATTCATTTATGCTAGTCTTCTGGCTTCTTTTGTCCAGAGAGTGCAGTTCAGTGCAGAATCTGTCACTTCTGCTGTTTTAACTAGATCTATGTTTTATCTAATTATATTTTCCCAGCTCCATACATCTCTTCAGTGGCTTCCAATATAATGTTTAAATTATTTTGTCATCAGCCTCTGAATAGTTGTAACATATTTTTTGTATTCCCTGTGTGTTTCCAATAGCTCATTTAGTTCCATTATTGAAACCTAATATGTGAAAGAACCTTGCTTTTTACTCTGATTAATAGGCCCTACCAATAATTCTGCTTCTCTTTTGCTTTTCAGCTGCATGTTAATGAATATATTTTGGTTTTGTACTTGTTTTGCAATTTCTGCAGAACACGGCATGCATTGCAGAATGGTTCCTTTTCTGGATCTGCTTGGTTGCTTTTGACATTGTATCCCTTGCACTGGATACCTTTGTATTGTGTGACTGTTGCCTTCATGCTGATTCCAAACTAATCTAGTGTGTTATATGTTTCTCCTATAACCAGTCTTGATATGCATTTTTAATTAAACGTACTTGTAGTTTTTTTCCTGCTGCTTAATATTTTCAAGGGAGCTACACAGTTACTCTGAAAATATCCACTGCTTTTTGCAAAGTCAAGTGTATTTCTTACAACTTTTCTATAGTTATCAGTTTTATAAATAATTCTAATTCACTGATTTATTATCTGCTCAGTCACATGACTTAGCTTTATTATACAGCTTATAAGAAAAGAGTCTCACTGGTCTCACCCGACATCTTGTTTCTTGAAAGGAGAATATTCCTTTCCCAAATATGCCAGGGTAAAGATTACACCAGTGCAGTTATTTCTTGATGAAAGAGGAGTAAGCCCCTTTTACACTAGTATAACTATGCATATTGGGGCTTTTTCCATTATAACTAGCTCAGAAAAAAATACTTTCCTAAACAATGTTGTTAGACAATTTTTAGCCTAGTCTTCAACAGGTCTTTTGTTACCAAAGCCTCAAATCCATGTTAAGTGCATACTTCTATGAGTAAATTAATTGCTTGAAATGCTTCCTCTGTGTATGATGCAAGAATTTCTTCTGATCTAAATAATCATGGCCCATACTTAAACTGACTGCTGCAGAAGAGCCAAGATGCTATGTGGGAAAAGGTAAAAATAGCAGGTAAAGAATATTGGGAAGGCAGACAGTGTTTGAGGGTAACAAAACTCCAGATCCTTTCTGCCACTCAATCTAGCCTTTCAGTTGTGTAACCTTTGGGGGAGAAGATACAGCTTCCCACTGAAGACTCGTAGTTGTTGCTTGTTGGAGCTTCTCAGAGACGATATTCTTTCTCAGAGCCTAACATCCACTCACTCCTGTTTCTCGTCTTTTTCAGAATCTTCCCCAGAGAGTACCTTCTTCAGCACATCCACCTGTATTCCCTTGCAGACCTCCAGCAGGTAAGTTTCTTCGGCTGAACATACCTTTCTTCTGTTGGCCAGCTGGTTCCTTATCCTCTTGGCCAGTGGCAATAATGGCATGTCTTGCCTTGATGTTTAATCATGCTAGGGTTAGTAAGACATCCCTCTCACTCAGAACTTTGTAGATGGTCATTCAAGATTAGCGTACAGGAATATGGCAGCCTAAGAGCACAGGTTTAGCTCTTACACAGGAAAAGCTTGTGCTTCCTGAGTGAAGACAAGAGCATTGGGACCACACAAAGTCAGTCAGTCTTTATGGTATGTGCAGCTGAGAGAATGACAGGGAGCCTATAAATCTGTGTGTAGGCAAGTGTAGGCATTTGGAGCTTTCCCTATTGAAAGCCAACCTTAGATGTTGATCACCACATAGACCATCAGTACTGTTTGAATGAGGGGTTCATATGGATGCACCCGTATTTTAACTTTAACTTTCTTGCTTTTTGTTTTTTGTAACTTCAACCATAATGTTTAGTGTTAATATTTTGTTATATTCCATTCACATTGCCCAAAGGGAAATTGCTTCAAGATGTACAGTAAGCCTCAGTGGAGGTGGAAATTGGTAGTTATGGGGCTTTTTACCCCTATATTGTGAAAAGTAATATTTACTTATAGGGTAGTTCTTTCAAGTGGGAATTCATAGTTTCATAGTAGCTAGGGTCAGGAGGAACCTGAACAGATCATCTAGCCTGAGAATGAATGCTGGGTTCACAGGACCCCAGACAGGTGATCATCCAACCTTCTCCTGAATTTGCCCAAAGCGGGGGCCAGGACCACTTTCCTGGGAAGCTGGTTCCAGATTCTGGCCACCCTAACTGTAAAATATTGCCTTCTGATCTCTAACCTCAACCTGTTCTCCATCAGCTTATTACCATTGTTCTTTGTCACCCCAGGTGGTGCTGGGGAGAAAAGGGCTCTACTTATTTGCTGTTGATCTCCCCTTGATGAGTTTGTAGGCAGCCCCCAGGTTCCCCTTCAGCCTCCTCTTGCTGAGGCTGAACAGGTTCAGGTCCCTCAGTCTCTCCTCATAGGGCCTGTCCTGTTGCCCTCTCACCAAGCAGGTGGCCCTCCTCTGAACCCTCTCCAGGCTGCCCACATCCCTTTTGAAGTGCGGTGCCCAGTACTGGATGCAGTACTCCAACTGCGGCCTGAACAAAGTTGCATAGAGGGGGAGTATCACCTCTCTGGACCGGCTTGAGATGCACCTTTGGATGCATGACAAGGTATGGCTGGCTTTGCTGGCTGTGGTCTGGCATTGGCAGCTCATGTTTATCTTGGAGTCAGTAATGACTCCAAGATCCCTTTCTGCCTTTGTGCTTTCAAGAAGGGAACTCCCCAGCCTGTATGTATGCTGTGGATTCCTTC